CGCGTAGCCCCCGCACTGAAAGCACACGAAGGAAGCAGGGGAACTGGCGGGCGAGCTCGGCGCCGCTCGCTTCTGGCAGCAACCATGAGCAGTTGTGATCACTCCTTCGGGCGCCCGCCGGGACATGGCGCAGGCAGCGCTGCATCTTTAGCGTACGACCGACAAGAGCAACACGCTTCGATCCCCCCCTGTCACTTTCGTCGTCGTCTTCTGCCCCCTGCCACCCTCCCTCTGCTGCTGCGCCGCGCGGACGGTACGCCCCCCCCCCCGCGCGTCCTTCTCGTGCCCTTCGCTCCTGCCCCCGCGTCCTCTTCAAGCCTGGGCCTTCGCTCCTCGTCCTCCTGCTGCTGTCCCGTGAACCGTGCCACGCGAGCGCATTCCATGTGGCCTGCACAGCATATAACGGCGCCTGCACCGTCACTGTCCTGGCAAGTCTGGGCCAACTCCTCTCGTCACTCTACGCAAATGGGCTGGGTCCGCGTCACAGGGTAACTCGTTTCAGCAATTTAGCCCGAGACGCCCTCACAACACTGAGATGTTCGCAACATCGTCTTTCACAACAACAAGCGCTTCGCTCGAGACATCCTCCAAAACATGAGGGCGGGGGTTTTCGATGTGCATCAAGAATGAAAGTTTCGCCAGGGACATCCTCGGAACAATCAGATGTCGACAGAGGTGTTTTAGTACCTCTTATCTTGAAAACGATGTTCTCGCTAGCGACCATCACGGCAGACCAGGCGCCATTTCGCTGGGGACATCATCAAAAACGATCTGGTCCCACCATCGTCTTGATCTCGTTGCTGAAGTGCTTCCATATCATCAAACAAGAGCTCCCAAAGGACCCCAAGATGGCTCCAAGAGCGCCCTGAAGACTGCCGCACATGGCGACTTCGCTAGGGACATCCTCGACCCAATGACCAACACGATACTGAACCATGTTGGTCTTACATCATCTTGGCATCGCTATCGCAAAAGCGTGAACACGGCCCAAACTAGCCTTCACACAATTGCGAGTTCGCTCGAGACATCCTCAGATAACATATGTGTCCAACATCGCATCGTACTGGATTTTGAAAGCATCAAGGCGGCCCCAAGTGCCCAAGACGGGCCCCAAGATGACCCACAGAGCGCCCTAAAGACGACCGATAATGACGATTTCGCTGGGGACATCCTCACAAAACTGAGTTCACCAGCATCGGCGTTTGCAAAAACAAGCGTTTCGCCTCAGACATCCGCCTGATCTGGGAAATCGCGAATTTTCAATAGGTTCGAGAATGGGCGTTTCGCCTGAGACATCCTCGCAGAAAAAACATGTCGGCAGGGGCGGCTTACTACTTCTTATGTTGAAAACGACGCTCTCGCTCGAGACATCCTCAGAACATGAGGAGGAGCACGGCAGACCAATTTAGCTGCATGGTCGACGTCAATTCTAAAAGGGGCCATTTCGCTAGGGACATCCTCACAACATTGGCATGTTCCCAACATCGCTTTGACATCGCTACCGAAATGGCTCAAGACGACAAACAAATCCAAACAGGACCCCAAGCTGTCTCCAGGAGCGCCTCGAATATTGCCGAAATGACAGTTTCGCTAGCGAAATCCTCAAAACAAAACGAATACGGCAGAGCACACAGACGCATGGCATACTAGGTTCTCAACATCATTGTTACATCGGTTTTGAAATGCTTCAGAAACGAGCCCCCAAAGGACTCCAAGGTGACTGCAAGCGCGCTCGGAAGACTGCCGAACATGGCGATATCGCTGGGGACCCCGCAGGCCGGCACGGCAGACCTGCACGGCAGACCAGCGCGGCAGGCCATCACGGCAGACCAGCACGGCAGACCACCAGCACGGCAAACCAACACGGCACACCAGCAGCACGGCAGGCCAGCACGGCACATCAGCACGATCAGCACGGCAGGCCAGCACGGCAGACCTGCACGGCAGACCAGCACGGCAGACCAGCACGGCAAACCAACACGGCAGACGAGCACGGCACGATCAACACGGCCGGCCAGCACGGCACACCACCGGCACGGCAGACCAGCACGGCAGACCAGAGCGGCAGGCCAGCACAGCAGACCCGTACGGCAGACCAGCACGTCAAACCAGCACGGCAGACCAACGCGGCATACCAGCTTTTCAGACCAGCCGTGTCTTTCTCAGAGTTCTCCTGTCCGCGGAGTACCTTTTTCCCGTGCAAGCTCTTCGGCACCGCCTGCACCCCGGGTTCCGCCCGCTCCGGCCGCCTGAGGCCCCGCCTTCCTGTGCCCTGTCTCCCTAATTAAAGCTGTGCGTAGCCCGCCTAGCTTTTAGCGGAAGAGGTTCGCTCTCGCCCCGCAGACCCCCCTAAAAAAAGAAAGAGTTTTTCAGAGTTCTCGGCGAAACGTTCCATCAGGGTTTGAAGACGCAGGCCCACTTCCCGTTCTTGCCTGGTCAGGCTTGGCACACCCGCTACCGTGCCCACCTGGCACGTTGAGGCGTGGTAGAACGCCATGTGCTGTCTGGCAGGCTTTCTGTAATCTGGCAAGGCCCCCCCCCCCCCTCGACGCGCTTCGCTGCACGCATCCCCGCCCACCCGAGGCCACGATCCCCTGTAAAAAACGATAGGCCCGCGCCCCCGAGCTTCCAAGACGGCTGAGGCAGGCACCCGAAGCCGCCAAACTGGCCGAACATGCCTTCAAGACGGCCCAAGATAATTAGCCCCAGCCCAAGGTGGCCTCGAGACGGCCCAAGAGCCGCCCAAGACGGCCAGAAAAGGCCACAAGAGGAACCCCAGTTGGACCCGAAGAAACCCAGCTTATATGGTATCCAGCAGAGGCTTTGACTTCTGGGCGTCTTCAACTGTTCGGGCTTTCTTCAGCTCCAGACGGCCCTGTAAACCTCCAAGATGACCCCACGACGGCCCAAAAAGGCTCCCAACTGGGCCAATAATGATGCAAGACGGCCGCAAGACAGCCCCAAAAGGCCTCTAGACGGCTCAGGCTGGCCCCAAGAGAGCCCCAAGTTGGCCCAAGAGGGCCTCCAAAAGGGACCCACGACGGTCTTAGAGAACCTTGCGACGACCCAACACGGCCCCACGACGGCCGCAAGATCCCGAAAAATTCCCAGAGAAGGTTCCCAAGGAGTCGTGAAGATCCACGAGGGTCCCGGATGATTCTTCAAGATCCAGGAGGATCCAAACGATCCCTGCGCATCCCTGAAGATGCCCAACGGTTCCTGAGGATGTCAAAAGATCAAGGACCTCTGGGGATTCCAACGGGTTCCTGCAAATTCCAAAAGATCTCCGGGGATTCCTGAAAATTCCAAAAAGGATTCCTATAGATTCCCGCGAATCCTTGAGATTGCCTGCGGCGTCTTGGGAGATCCCGAAGGGTGTCGACCAGAATCTGGGTCTTCTCAATGAAGAGCGGGATGGTGTTACCAAAGGAATCATTTGAACATCTTTCGGTGCCGCACCATCGGAATACAACAAGGACACAATAGGACTCCAAGAGGAATGCAATACAGCGGGAGAGCACCAGGAATACACTCGAAATGCAATAGGAACACACTAGGCATACAATACAGTAGGAACACAATGAGAACACACTCGGATTACAATCGGACTTCTGCCGAAGCCTAATAGACAAAAAAGTATTCCCTATTACAACAGCCATTTCCCGAGTGCTTACTACAGCAAGTACAACAATGCGAAATGTTCCCCGATCAGTGCTTGCACTGAAGGGGTCCTCGCCGATGTTGCTAGAATTGGCGAAAATGCCTCGCCGATTTTGGTGGCACGCTGGGTTCCCGGGGTTCATGTTCCGGGTTCCCGGGTTCCTGGGTTCCTGGTCATTGGTTCCGGGCCGATGGTTCACTACCGATCTCACTGTCGAATTCATTACGGATCTCATTGGTTCCTGGGTTCCCGGTTCCAGGTTCCCGGGTTCCTGATCATTGGTTCCGGGCCGATGGTTAACTATCGATCTCACTACCGATCTCACTGTCGAGTTCATTACGGATCTCAATGTTCCCCAATCAGTGCTTGCACTGAAGGGGTCCTCGCGGATGTTGAAGGAGTTGGCGAAAGAACCCCGCCGATTTTGGTCGCACGCTGGGTTCCTGGGTTCCCGGGTTCCTGGTTCCGGGCTCCTGGGTTCCAAGTTCCGGGCCGATTTCGGAGGGCGGCGAGGTTCCCGGGTTCCCTGGTTCCTGGTCGATCTTATCGATCGGTCTCACCATCGATCTCATTACCGACTAGTCGATCGATCTCACCATCGATCTCACAATCGATCTCACTATCAATCTCACAAACGATCTCACTAGAGGTCGCATGAGCGATCTCGAGATCGATCTCACTATAGATCTTAGTGGACCGATTTCACTGTCGGTCTCACGATCGACCTTACAATTGTCCTCACTATCGATTCCACTATCGATCTCATTATCGATCTCACAACCGATCTCACGATCCATTTCAAATCATCCACTGATTGTGGCTTTCTCATGTGTAGTGCCTGTTTGCTTATTTCCCTGATACAACAGCTATACAGGAAGTATACAGGACGAGTGCAAGAAGGTGTCGTCTGGCGGCGCGACACGGAGGCGATGTGCGATCCAAATCATCGAAATCGTAGTATACGTAGTTTTAATCAGATTTTTTGTCGTAGTCGTGGTGGTAGTAGTATTATAATTTATGGTTAATGAGTAGTAGTAGTAGTAGTAGTAGTAGTAGTAGCAGTAGCAGTAGTAGTAGTAGTAGTAGTAGTAGTAGTAGTAGTAGTAGTAGTAGTAGTAGTAGTAGTAGTAGTAGTTAGTAGAAGGAGTACTAAAAGCAGTAGTAGTCGTCGTCGTGATAGTAGTCGTAGTAGTAGTAGTAGTAGTAGTAGTAGTAGTAGTAGTAGTAGTAGTAGTAGTAGTAGTAGTAGTAGTAGTGGTGGTAGTAGTAGTAGTAGTAGTAGTAGTAGTAGTAGTAGTAGTAGTAGTAGTAGTAGTAGTAGTAGTAATAGTAGTAGCAG